GGTGTCTCATATTTGTCAGGTTTGCAGTAAGTAAAGTGGTGTTAAGAAAGATTGCCAATTGAAATGGGGGGACCCAAATATCCCGGGATTTTTGGTCCCCCCTTATGAAAGACACTAAAGTTATGAAATAGGACAACACATGGATGCCAACCTTTGAACACGACTAAAAAATGTTCTGTTGTTGTCTCAAAAATGCCAAGTTAGCAGCAAATAAATTGATTTTGACAAAACTTTGATTAGCAGGTCTAATGGGGGACCCAAATATCCCGGGGTTCTTGACCGGGATTTTCGGTCCCCTGTTATAACCATTTGGTGGGGGACCCAAATATCCCGGGATGTTTGTTCCCCCGTTATGAAAAACACTAAAGTGATGAAATATGACAGCATGTTGGATGCGAACCTTTGAACACGACTCAAAATGTTCTGTTGGTGTCTCAAAAATGCCAAGTTAGCAGTAAAGAAATTGATTTTGACAAGATATTAGCAGTTCTAATGGGGGGCCCAAATATCCCGACGGGTTCTTGACCGGGATTTTCGGTCCCCCGGGCCCGTTATGACCAATGGTGGGGGACCCAAATATCCCGGGACTTTTTGTTCCCCCCTTATAAAATACAAAAAAATTTTGTATATGAATCTTTACACCCAAATGAAAATATTCTGTTAATGACCGAAAGTCGTCAGGCCAGCAGTAGATAATGTGATGTTTAGAAAAAAATGCCCGTTTCAATGCCCGGGATTTTTGGCCCCCCTTTCACAAGACACATAAGTAATCGAATACAGACAACATATTGGAATGGAAGATTAATAGACAAGTCAAAATGTTAGTGTTGATGTACTGAAAGTTGACAGGTTAGCAGTAACTAAATAATTGATTTTGAGATTTGATTCTTAGTTTGATTGGGGGAGGGTGTCAAATATCCCGGGTCCCTTGAATTCTTTTTTGTACGAATACTCTTTTGAACGAATACTATACTACATTCGGTTGAGAAAAGACAATGTGTACAATGGTTACTGTTTTATTATGAATATAATGCTGGAAGAATCTAACCTAATGGTCATGGGATGAAAGATACGACATTGTTGCTTTGGGCCTTCGTAGTTTTTAGGCCACGCCCCCTTCCGCCAAATATGGAAGTGACCCCAAAAATCCCGGCGCCTCCACATTTCCCGGCCGGAACACCGGCCTATTTCAGACCCCGTACGGGCGTCGAGTTAATTTAACGCAAACTTAAAATCACCGCGGGCCCCGGCGAGAACATTTTATTGTGACCATGACAGCCAGCGTCCGCCCAGCCTTATATGACGCTGGCTGGCGTCTAGATCGGGAACATGCCGCGCGGGCCCCGTTGAAAATGTGACTCCAGCTCAAGATATCTTGACCGAGGAAAAATTCTCAGAGCTCTCATTTAATTTTGGAAGTATAGCTTACGGCAGTATGGTAAGGCGCAATCCTCCCAAACGCTTTTGCCAGGAGTCTTGGATTTACTGATGTAACACCAAACGGTTTTATGACTAGAAGGGTTCCGGCAGTAGTTTTCCTCCAGTCCAGCTGTCGGCTCGCTAGAAGGCGTATTCTGGTGTGCATGACTGTCCCAGCGTACACACGTCTTGCCTGAAGCGGTTACAGTGAGGTTTCCTCGGTAGGATTCTCCATTTCCTACCCGACATTCTGTAGAGAGAGTCGCAGGAAAAATTGTCACCCACATATGGATGTCATGAGTTGGATATGTTGAGTTTGAAAATACAAAACAAGCAGCAACGGGTGCTGGTGAAATGTTACGCTGAGGTCACATTTCGCAACCGGGGTCCGGCCGGGCTGTTTCGCTTGACGAAAAATCAACAATTTATGTCAAGAATATGCGCAAATTGTTACCATTAATAATTTTTCAAATTTTTCAAGTTTTTGTGCTTAATTGTCTTTTATATCATACTTTTCGCTCCTTCTAAGATTGCCCTGTCGGGCCCCGGTTTTGAAATGTGACCTCAGCATTACAGTTCCCATAGGGTCTGCGGCAAACATTCAGCATTACTACTGAAACGTCCTGCACTGTGTCATTAAGCAACAAAAGAAGTTGATTACATAATGACTTCATTGAGTTAGAGGTAGAAGTTACTCCGAAACAAATTGTAACAATACGTTTGTGAAGATTAATCATCCAGGATGATACTAAAAAGGAGAGTTGAAATCTTTACTTCTGGATAAGATAAGAAAATAATGTCAGACGTTTCAGACATTAAGATATAACATGCTTGTTGCTTACTTATTATTTGTTTATTTAGAACGTAAATACTTTTAGAATTAACGGTGCCGTTCCGAATTCTATGGCAATTTTGAATATTTCACTGATGAAAGATGCCGGACGGCGTCTGAAACGTCTGACATTATTTTCTTATCTTATCCAGAAGTAAAGATTTAAACTTTCCTTATTAAACTGCAGCCTACGACGCCCTGGGCATCGTAATAGGGTTGAAAATTCCCCCACTGTGATTTAGCAGACGAAATTGACTTGGAGACTATTAATCCGGCTTACCGCTCCACGGGAGCCTGCCATTGCGGGCGCGAGCCACTGTGCGCGCGAGCGGAACATTACAGGAAATCACGTGACACGTTACGTGCCAAGCATACAAATACGCTGGTGGAGTGCACATGTTTGCTGCGCCATCTTGAAAAAACGAAGTTCTGGGCTTTACTGCGTTTTCGTTGGAAATGTAGTCGGTAATAGTTCACTATAGAACGATATATTGCGGGCCCTCGCTGCTCGGATAGTTTTTTTTCACTAGCGAGGTTGTGAAGCAGCGCCAGATGAGCCAACAGAGCCGGGGAAAGTATGTGGTCAGATTTGTTTACCAACAGTTCGCCGCCATCTTCATAACAACAGTTCACGGGTTGTTTCGGTACGAATGTGGGACCTGAACTTGGGGATGCCAGCAGATTTATAAGGTAGGTGAGGTACACATACAAAGTACGTATGGAAAGTGTAGCAAATTGAACATATATTTACTTATTATAAAGATTGAAATATAGCATTCTTGTTCTCCTGCGTCGTGTTCATGGTTCTTTGTAACTGTTACGTTACATGTTTATAGATATCGAACGCGAACAAAACGATGTAACAACGAAAGGCGGGACTGTTTTCTAGACGAATAGATGACGAAGTGTATACAGGAATATGTATTTGGTTGTCAATTTTTGTCTCATGTGGCATCATAACTGTCTGTGGGTACTCGATTATACGCCGTGTATTTTGTATCAAATTTGTTAGAAACCGCGGATGCTTTAGTCTTGAGTTCTTACCCAAATTATTCATGTTTACTTCTTCGTGTCTTTGACAAAACAGTTCAAACTTGACAGCCAGGGTTTCCGCTGAATTTTTTGTTGGTATTTTCAATTACATGAGAGGTTACGTTGACGTATTTTTCTGGACTCAAAACTCGTGTTCAAAACAGTGTTGTCAAACAGGAGCTCGCAAAACGTCTACGGGGGAGGGGGGCGCGACTGTGTACATCCTACGATTACTAGTATTCTACGACAAGTACGAGGCACACATTCGGTGTCATGATCGAATTTTAGACATGTTATTTCTAGTATGAACATTTTCTGTGCTGTTTTCATCGTAGGGATTTCCACAAAATATTTCTCTTGTGATAAATACCCCGAAATCTTTGCGTGTAATTTCTTTGACGCATCCTTAGAGAACGCTATAAATAGTCATGGACTCATGGTCAAATTTGTAAAAATTTTTCTACCCAGGGGATGGAACATGATCGTCTTGACATGATCATAATTTGTATTCATGAGACTGAAGTAAAATCTGATGCAGAGACAGACAAGTTTTCTCATCCAAGGCAGTGAAGTTATTGCATTTTGAAAGGTACAGCCTTCAGTTGCAAATGATACCTTTGCAGTACAGGTGGTCTTACAATGTTTACAGCTCTAAATTCATTTTGCGGACCGCATCTAAACTAAACATATATGTGTATAAAAAGTGTGTACAACAATGAAATAAATGTCAGAAAAATGTACTGTTCCAACTACTTCACAATACCTATTTTTTTTCCTGACATGTGATCAGTTGAGAGCAAAAGCTACACACCATACAACTGTTTTACTTTAGACTTTCATTAGCTAAAACCTGGTACCATAAAGGAGATGTCCCAATAAATCGGTCAATCGAACAGAACTTGAATATTCTTTTATGACAACAGCAAGATTTTATCACATAAACTGTGATACCTGAATATTTGTTGTTCGGCTGTTTTGTTCTACAAATCCAAAGGAACAAGGACATGATGTTGATAGGTTGGACATAGAGCTACATGTACATGCAGAGTCCAGTCTGTTTTCCACATTTCATTATTCAGAGAGGCTTCAAGGCCTTGGTCAACCAACATTACATTTCAAAAGACAAACAGACATTACGCAACTGAACGAGATCACACATGGTTTGACGTACAGTCTCAGAGTTTGCAACAACAACTTATGCAACAGAGCTATGCTAAATCTACAAATACAACTTGACAAGGTTGTGGTTACAACTATCCAACCAAGGGGTGAAAGTAATTCAAATATCTTCTCTAAAAGAGCAACATCAACATGGCACAGTCTGTCAACATCAACCATCACCAGCAGTGCTTATTTGCAAATCTAGACTGGTACGGGACTGGAGTAACCAAACCTTTATCATATGAATATGCCAGGTAATTATAAGCTTCTTGTACTGAAAAGTAAAATCTTTCAGCTAAACTACTTGACTAAACTACCCATCCTGAACTACATTAGATTCAAGCAAAGGTGGACTCATTACCCATGTAGGGTATTTACTGACTCGGTCAAACAGACAAGATGAAAAACAAAGTACTGTAAATAACATGGTGGCGGGAGGCATGGATGGCTTGGATGCCTAACGTACGTTACTAATACTAATACAGTTGTACTTGAAAGTTACTTTCATCGTGTCACATTATGTGATTGTGAGACAAAGTTATACATGAACTGTTATCTATTCAGGTTCATCTTCGGCAGAGAAGTCTGTGTCGCTGTTGTCGCTGCCCGAGGCCAGGGCCCCGTCCTCGCGCTGTGGCTGAGGCTGCCTCTGAGGCAGGGGTGGGAGGTTCCCTGCTGCCTTTACCCTGGCCAGGAACGTCAGCAGCAGCTCGCGCACAAAGGTATACTTTTTCGCGGTTAGGATTCGCTTACCCTGTACCTGCCTGATGTTGGCGACACTATACCTGACATACCGTGAGGTTGCCTCTCTGTCTACATGCTCATTCTGAAACAGAAATGTCGTTGTGTAAACCTCATACAATATTTTTTTCCAGCTATGATTGCCATGTATTAGTGTGTACTATAATCTGCATCCACACTGTGCTAATGAAGTTCGTATGATACATATAAACAGTTATACTGCATCTGGTTTTATGGTGCGGATACAAAATGAGATTGTGGGATGTCTTTATCATGTATTGCTGGAAAGTTTTACAATGTAGGAGGAATAAATTGCCAAGATTTACGCAGGGAAAAAAACCTACCCAATCAAGCACGGCCAACCCCATCCGCAGGCCGTAGTTCAGGTCCCCGAAGACTATTCTCTTGTCTACATACTGGAGACAAGAGTTGTTGAAAGACTCTACGTATAGAGTGTCCTTGCACTGAAACGGTAATGTTTTTATAAAGACAAGATAAATAGCTTTGAACCTAATAAACAGATGGAAGTAGTCCCGACACATGTTCTACATATACATGTACTATAAATTGAACATATACAATAGCACACCACATTTCAGGATGCGTGTTGTGTCTGATTACCACCATGTACATGTCACCAAGTTAGTGAATGCTTTACACAGTTTACATGTACAAGACTGATGTACATTATTCCTATCACTATCAGAGCTATTTACTTACAAGTTCACCTGGGTACACTAATTGGATCATATTTAGGCCACACCGATTTAATTTTATGGATGACATCCTCTGAAGACCCCCAAACTAGTGCGCGCGGGCGAAAAAAAAAAAATCCGGCCAAAAATAAAAATGCTACAAAACCACAGGAATACAAACCTGGTATTGTGAATTTGGCGCATTACATAGTGACGTATACGACAGGCCGACACATGCTGGATTTTTGCGGAATATATGAATCGATACTGCTGTACGTATGTACTGAGTTCTTGAGTCTTGGAGCTTCGGTAGCCTGGCTGCCGTCAACCAGAGTTATCACCACCATGCACTACCCAGGCCTAAAGCCAGGCCATAGCCTCGGAATACGTGATCTTTTTTTTTTTTTTTTTTGAGATCGGGCGAAAATCAATGCGCGCGCGGATGTCATCCATAAAATTAAATCGGTGTGGCCTTACCAAAATAATTAGTGAGTCAAGGGCTGAGGGGTGAGTAAAGTGCATAGAGGCACCTTTTTTTACCAGTGAAGTTGAATATTTCAGTTGAATCAAGGACATTCTGTTTAAAGTTAAAACTTTTGATCCAACACAAAAATTCTCTCACCTAGAGCTTTCAACCCGTCACTCTGGTCTTCCTCAGTAGACTGACCCTCAGTAGACATCGTCTACCAGATACCTTTGACCCAGTGTTGACGTCACACTTCAAAGAAGCCACGTGACAAGCTTCACTGGGTCAGTCTACTGAGGAAGACCAGAGTGACTGGTTGAAAGCTCTAGGTGAGAGAATTTTTGTGTTGGATCAAAAGTTTTAACTTTAAACATGTAACTACCAACACAGATGAACTTTCATGATAGTTCAAGGACATTCTGTTACACTTGTAATAGCCCTCACTGTGCTTACCTGTAGGTGTTTGTAATGAAGACCTTGGAAAAGGGGGTGCGCCTTTGCTGCCAATCAGGAATGTTTATCAGTTTTATTGTTTATATCCATTATTTGGAAATTTGAATTGTGCTCGTACACCCCTGTTAAAATAATGGTATCTCACCAGCACATAGTCTTTGGCACTCTTGTAGATGTCCTGGCTTCGGACAAAGTTGGTCAGGAGTTCTACTGCCCGCTGCTCTGTGAGTAGGAGCTTCGTAGGGCGGTAGTTGGGGTCTGCCCTGCAGCGGGACTCTGGGTGGCAGTTGTCGTGACGGTTCTGTTGGCATATGAAGAACGAGTAAAATTAGGTTATATAGCAGTGCCACTGAAGTCATGTAGGAGGTGAGATTATATTCCGTTGCTGAAAAGATGCATGACATTAATAAAATGTGGGATCCAAGTACAAATGCTGTTTTAGCAAGGCAGACAGTCATTACACAACCTCATTTGAAAACTATCTTTTTCTTTCATTTCATTGCAGCACACATTGCTTCCTGGCAAAATAGACAACATGGACATTACCTGGTAGTGCTGAACGATGTTTAGCAGCATGTCCCGTAGGACCTGTTCGTCCCCGCCGCACCTTGCCATGCACCAATAGAAATGTGTCTTCAAGGGTGCCCCTATAGGTAGGAATGTGTGTTTCATTTATTGTGACTTTGGTTTATTTGGCATTGGCATTAGATACCTGAATTGTTGTCATGTTTTTCCACTAAATGTCAATAGTCTATTCCCATAGAGCATGATTATAGACCAAGTGTCTTTTGAGATATGCTGACAAAGGTTATAAGATACGCCAAAAATCAGTTACCCAAGCAACCGTCTAAGAATGCTAGTGGATGCTAAATGAAACGTCTGGTCATTTCCAAAGTCATATCTAGTTACTAGAGTTACTGCTTTTTGGCCTTTTTTCTTTAGATGTCAATTGTCTACACGATTATGAGATACTAGTGTTTTCATGCAAGATGGGGAATATACCTTTGTCAGCAAGCTGGGGATGCCACGACACCCCTCGGCTTCTCACTGGCCCACTGGAAACACGTTTAAACTTCCTTGCGATGGCCTTAGTTGCTGTAATTGTGGCAGTTTGAGTGAGACGTGTCTCATTACATTCCTCAATTGTGTAACAGTATAGGATTGTTTGTTACCACATTAATATCCATGTACATCTGCATACTACATGATAAGTATTGCATGCTGCAGCATGAGTGATTATTTTATTGCTATTTATCTATTTCATTTATTTTTATCAATTTCATTTTTATTTATATTATATAAGGAATCAGATTGGTGTTCATTATCTAACTTGTAAGCCGTAGATCTTACCGTGCCAGGTATCATTAGAATTTGTTGTCCGTGTGCCGTCCGCGTACGGCGGCCTTTCCCGGATAAACTTGTTGATACTCTGGTTCCTGTCATGTGCATGGTCCGACACCTTTACACCTGTTAAAACACAATAGAATAACACAATTGAGTACCTAGTAATAACAGTGTGAAATGATAGCTTGATTTTAGGATCTAAAATGATTTGTTCTGATCATTTGTGCTGATTTGACACAATAATTTAGGTTTGCAATTTTTGTACACAGCATAAGTGAAGAATTTATACAAACCCATCTCATCCAGTTGCCTGTATAGTCGCTCCGTCCCCACCTTCTCATGTTTTTGCGTGCAGGTCTGCTCCTTCTTGGTGACTGGCATGTGTGCTAGGACACGGTGGTTGCTGAAGGGAGGAAGATGAGACGACTTGAAGACCAATAAATGCCAGCATTTCATGTATTGTCATGTTTACAGAACAAAATCAGGGCAGGTGCAAAGTCTTTACAATCAAATCATGTCACTACAATGTATTTATCAGGGCAGGACATACCACCTGCATATGTCCAGGTAAAATTGGAGCTGTGCATGTATTTATGATAAGTCTACCTGTACTTATCCATATCTCATTACATAAAATGGTACACCTTATAGAGGTATAAAAGATACTAGTAGAATGATAATGGTTTCTGAGCAGTTTTGATCCATTCTCCCTAAATTCTGAATAAGATTTCTCTGGTTCATGTACATTTCAGTGTTACCTGCACCAGTGCAGATGTGCTGAAAAAAAGTATATCGAGCCCTGGTGTAAGTACTGTTGGTTACAAACTGGTGAATATTATTGCCAATTGATATCTGTGTAGCAGCAAAAAAAAGGAGCAATTAGGTTTCCCTACATTTGGCCAAGTGCCATTATGTCTGAGCGGTGTGAGTTCCTCCTTTGGGCGTGTCTGGCATCAGTTACAATGCCGACAGACTCATCAGGGACATCCTCCTCATTTGCGGGATCTCCAATTTCCTGCAGGAACCGGGAGTTTGTAAATTTCTTTTCAAACTAGTATTTTAATACAAAGTGTTGTTAGACTCTTTAAATATGTATGTAGCTGTAATTTACCACACTTGTGTATATATAATTGTGTATGTAGTATGGCTTTGCATTGGTTTATCATTTGAAAAGATAGGCTGAGTACTAACAGCATGGGATATACAGAATACTGTACCTGTTCTTTGCCTAGTGCATGATGTTTTATGAAAGTCTGAGGATCAGAATCAATGTGGCCTTGATGTTTCTTGATGCCGGTATGTGGATTTGACACTGGAACTGGACACTTGATATGTGGATTTGTTTGGTGCATGGAAACACTTTGTGACACCAGTTTACCTATACCTATGATAACGTACTGATAAATTATGGCAAATGATTGACTTGTATATAGGATTAACACTTGTTTTCCAAGTAATGGTATACAAAAGAAAATGTTACTGAGACTAATTTCCTGACCTCATTCATGGCACGGTCCATAGATGCCTCCTTCATACTCTGCACGATCTCCGCATACAGTATCATGCCTAGAGAAGAGAAAACTCTTCGTGAATATAATATGTATTTTTAACCTAGCAGTGGTTTCAAACATTTCAATGGTTTGAGAGATTGATGTTGATGTCTGTCAAATAGCCATAGCTATCAAACCTTGGAAATGTCATCTTCCTGTTTCAGCTTGAGCATAACGCAACTATACATCGGAAAAAAAGTACAAGAAAGAAAATACATTGTTGTAATACAGAGTGTGTGGAAGTGACAAATAGGATATCTTACTTTGCTTTAGGGTTTTCTCTGTTAAATGACCAATACCAGCATTTTTGCAGACTCGTACATACTGATTTGGCAGAATGCCACTTGAGAAGTAGCCATGTGCCATCCTGCAATTTGGGAAAAGAAAAATATACTGTCTTATGTACATCAGAAAGGTATTAAAAGTTACCCAGTAATTTACAAGTTTATTCAAAGTATTTGAGGACTGTTATGTACACTGATATCTAATGTGGTGAACTTATTCATGAGTAGAGTGCCATAGAGCATACTAGTGCATCACATTTGGAACATCCCCACCTTCTATTGTATATTTTTCGTCCGTTTCGATATTCATGGAGAAGAATTTATCAGAAAATCCCTTACATATTCCATTTTCTGAGATATGTTTACATATTGGCACAGGTTAGGCCATGTTGATTTGATTATATGGATGACATCCTCCGGGAGCCCCAAAACTGATGAGCGCGTGCGAATAAAAAAAAAGTTTTGCCAAAAAAACAAGTTGTTTTCATTATGAAATCTACGTGGTCATGAGGGTTGAGCAAATGGCACAGAATATGGTTTGGCGAATAATCTAGTCTTCAAGTTCACTTCCTTACAATTTTGTCTTTTTTCGTTTGATTTTGGCATTCTACGACATTGGTATAGTTTTTACTTATTTTTTTTGTAACTTACGGAATATTTTTGCTCATTTTGCAACTGTTTTGTACGATTTACAGTATGGTTGAAAACTTCTTTTTTTTGGAAACGGCCGAAAATTCATGCGCGCGCGGATGTCATCCATATAATCAAATCAACATGGCCTTAGGTAATGTTACGATCTCTCTCCTAACATCTGCTTGGAGATGACACGCCCCTCGGGCCCGCAGAGCAGATAGTAAAGAAGACTTTATACAATAAACAAATGCGCATACCTCAGGTTTACAAGAAAGGGTTGGCCGACGTGCGGGGATGTTGTCCACATGTACTTGCAGCCATTCGCACATGCAAACTTGGCGATGCCTGTGTGGCCGCGAAAGACCAAAGACCTCAGGGTCAACTCTTTCTTGCAACGTTCGCCGTGCTGGAAAATGGTGCCGGCGAGGTGGCGTAGCGATTCCTCTGCCAGCACCATTAGCCGTTGCTCCATCTTATCATCTGGGCAAGGCTGGTACTGAGCCAGGATCGCCGAGGGTGACGGCGACGACGTAGAATAACCATGTGCGGACAAGTAGTTGTTCAGCAACGCCATGATCATCTCCGTCGTCGTCGTGTCCTCGACGCCTCCCATGAGCTCCTTGACGGTCTTGATCTTCTCCGTCATGCCGGCTTTTGCCGCTTCTGCCTCCCCGACCGTGCCGGTGAACAGGCATTCTAGGGTCTTCCTTACATTTCTTGTCGTGTCCCTGACGACCCCGTCCTTCCCTGTCCTGCCCTTCCTCCTCTTCTTGCGCGGATTGCTGGGGTCGTCATTGATGACGGCCAGAGGCGGTCGATGTGCGTCCGCCATACCAGTGTTCTTTTGGCGGTATGAATTTGGCGCTTTTTCGTCTATTGTTTTTAGGTCCCACGAGGTATGATGGGAACAGTTTTTATTGATTCATTTTTAGCAATGAACTGACAATAATAATTGTTTTTGTGTGTAATATGTCCAGGGTATTAAAACCTCACACGCATATGAATAAGAGGATACATTTATTTCTTTGAAACATTTATAAGTGTAGACAATTTTGACCTTTGCTTGGAGCGTATTGTCTGTGAGATTATCTTGGTGGCAAAAGTGACACTTACTCGCGAAAGGTCAGGCTGGCGGAAGAGACGTCATTGATTTCCGGATCCCGCCAGAACATCCCGACGCTGCGAAGATGGCGGGAAGGACGCACCTCACATTGTGCCTCACGCCAACAAGCGAGGAGTATATCCGCGGCTTTATTCGCCATTTCGAGTTTGAGGAAGAGGTAACCGTCGTCAGTAGTGTTACCTGTGAAGGCTGTGGTCAAGATCACCACCACCCACCACCACCTCAAGAACCAGCTGTCTTGGATGGGCCTCAGGACCAACACCCCCCACCCCCTCAAGAACCGGTCGCAGTCGAAGAAGCTCCACCGGCTGCGGAGGCAGTCCTCATCCCGCAGGCAGACGGGGTGGCTGAATGCAGGTACTGCTATTGCAGGCCCTGTGTCACTACCCCCGAGCCTTTGTGGGTAGGGGAACAGGCAGCCTGTGAGGCAAATGCGGCGCTGAGGAAGACAAAGTACCAACTCTTCTGGTCTACAATGGCAAACATGGTCCCCAGCCCATGGCTGGACGACCGTTACCTCAGGGCGAAGGACCGGCGAATGGCTGAAGATGCAGCCCGGGCACCCGCCCGCAGACGGCTAGCCATCTTAGCCGGCGGTGGTGTCCGGGAAATTATGCCGAAGTGCGTTCTCAAGCTCGTCCGCCGGAGATACCCAAACCCAGTCGGAAAACCCTACCTCGGTCACCGGTGGATCTGAGGAGTAATATACCCCGGCCCTTTTCACGGCCAACAAGTCAACCAAAAGAGCTGTATTGTATCGACTACTGATTCAATAATGGTCTTTTATCATATTTTCCGATGCTTGTTGTTTTATGTGTTGTTTTATGCCGTATTGTACGACAACACAGTCCCTTTTCAGCCCTTTATAAGCTGTTGTGACCGTTGCTAATGACTCAGACACGCAACATACTACTAATATAAACTGTGGCAGCTTTTATTGAAATGTCTTATATAAAGAGCCTTTTGGAAAGATGCCGCTTCACCAACGTTTCAGTCACGTGTATAGTGTGTAGGCTGGTAGGTATTTCGAGGAGCGGTCAGGTAAGTTTTTTTTTGTCTGGTTCATATACTTTCGATTTCTTTTCACGCAAGTTGTATATAGTAAACAGAAGGGTGGTGATTATAGCACGTGGTGTCAGATCGGTCAGAGGTCACGACCTTCGAACCGTAAACAGGAAGACATTTGCATATTTCAGTTGGAACTGGAAATTTGAACGTTGGAAAAGTAAGTGCCGTTGTATCCATATTTGCAGCTGTCTCGGGGAACAAAGTACATGTTTCTACCTGGGCCAAGCCTGTTGATTATGAACGTAAAGACAAACAATTTTTGATATAAATGTAGACGAAGGGAAAGCTCGATAACTTTGCCCACTATCCCCGATATTTTCACTTGAACACCACCTTCTGCCAAGCAAGGAGCGCTAAGTTGAAACTCGTCATAATTTTGCCCTTGATCCAAGATTAGAGCAAGCTGCTTTTATTCGTATTAGTATGACTGTTTCACTGACGGAAGAACCGCTAAGTCCACTCCGTAATAGATTATGTACTAACACCAACAGACTGCGCGGGCGGGGTTGGGTGGCTCTCGGGCCAGGGCGAGTGCCCTGAAAGTAACGGTCACCGGTATTCGTATCGTAACGTTCCGTGCATCATGGTGTAGCTGTAGTCGCTATATTTTCCGTCAGATGTCGGCACTACATTATGAGTTGCATCAAGATATTTCTGGAGAAGTATTCAGTGTTGCGTAGCATGGCGTTGCACATGTATTATAAATGTGTAAAACCCTCAGTACTGGCTAGACGGGCATCTGGCTTGCCGAAGCGGTGCTGGCTATTACTCGGCGCCGTGCGGGGCTGCACCGCGGGCCGGGAAAGCTATCCCGTAACCGTCCGGCTGCCGCTACGTTCGTATTTTTTTTGGATTGACGTTTGCAGTTTGAAGTTGACACATACTCATCACACAAAGACCAATAGATTTGTTATATCAACGTGTAACGTGCTTTTGAAACACTCATTACACCCGGAGCTCTCTCCCCGATGTGAACACCACGATGGTTTATGTCAGACTGAAGTCGGTTGTTTATGTTACGCCTTTTATGGTGGTAGGGTCAGGTCATTTTATAGTGTAAGCGTGCTCTTTAAATTGTAACAATGTGTCAACAGTATATAACACTGTTCACCAATTGTCCATACAATGTATCCGTTACAATTGCCGTGCAATAACCGTGATTGGTTGATTGATTGATTGATTGATTGTGAGTCCATGTGGAGTTTGTGGTAGGATTTGGGGGATCAACTAATGGTGGGTACTTGACAGGAACCAACCAGTGTTTATGACCCGGCCGGGCTGTTTGCGTGAACGAAAAATAAACTTTTTTTTCAAATTAAGGATATACTTTTTTCTGCTTTGTTGCCTTATATTGTAATAACAGTTGCCTTATATTGTAATTATTGTAATTGCAGTTTCATAAGACTGCCCAATGTGTGATAGGTCATGCTGAGGTCACATTTCCAAACCAAGGCCGTACCGCGCCATGACATTCGGTTTTTAATTCAACGCTTTCCGTCCACTTCAACCAAATTATCATGATGCTAATAATCATTTCCAAACCGGGACCCGGCCGGGCTGTTTAGATAAACGAAAAATCAACAATTAATATCAAGAACATATGCAAATAGTTCCCATTATCAATCTTTTAAAAAACTATTTTGTGCTCTGTTGTCTTTAATATAACACGTTCCATAATACTGTCCGGTCCGGTCCCGGTTTGGAAATGTGACCACGGCATGACCTATCACACATGAGGCACCGATATTTGGCTTTGGAGAGAAGACACGGTGCCGTAACTGTGTGTAAAAGGTGTTTGATAGGGGGTGTACAGGAGATTGGGGAATATGATCATATTTACTTGGATACTGTGGCAACAGCCTAGTAAAACAAACAGAATGAACGTTTCAAGTGGAATAAAAAAACTAGGTATGGTGACCTTTTTTTGTATACGTATTTGCATGTTAATTTATTTGTAACTTTGCTTGTTTATTTATTTCCATATTAACAAAATATAAATAATAAAATAATAATGGATAAAACAGGAGGAGGCGGTGGGCAAAAGCGTATTCAGCCTATGTTAAGCCGTCCGCCTCTCTACTAAACAAAATCACAATTGAAATAAAAGTATACATAAGGATTTCTTACTCAAGGAACAAAACACATAACCTTCTGACGAAGGTAAGGCCTAGGGGAAAATGCTGTGTTTCCTGTTTCACTCCTGAAAAAAATAGGGTCGGTAGGTAGGGATTAATTTTTTTTAATTCATTTTTTACACATTGGCAATCTCTGAGTTATCGAACTTATACATTATAGTTTAACACTAGGTAAAAACTTCCACGAGGCACTTATATTTCAATGTTTCAAATAAAATAAAATAAATAAATGTTAAAGTTAAATTCTGTTACAAAGTTTAATTCTGTTACAAATCTGATGATACATATCCTTCAATAGCCAGAGCAAGCAGTTTTATTTATTTGGATACGAAAAGAAAAATTATGGTCCTTGCAAGGTGTACAAAAAAGTCTAGGGTCGGCAGTTTTTTCTATAGGGTCGGTCGGGAAACAGGAAACACAGCATTTTTTTCCTAGGTCTAAATAAAGGTTCATTTTAGGAAATCACAAGCAATGTTTATGGAAGTGTAACTTACCGCAGCTTGGTACGGGACAATAAGCCCATTTCACCCTGGGATCCCTGGTGTGGCACCAAAGTCTTGTAGCACCAGAAGGATTCCGGCAGTAGTTTTCCTCCAGCCCACCTTTCGGATACTTATAACTTGTATAGCTGTGTGTATGTGGTTCCTGACTGCTCCAGCGTTGACATATTTTGCCTGATTCGGTCACTGCGACCGTTCCTCTGTAAGATCTCCCGTCTCCCGTCTGGCAGTCTTCGAGTTGAACAAAAAGAAAATTATGTAGTTAGTGTTTTAAGTTGAAATTTTTGATCCAACACAATTCAAAATTTTCACACCTAGAGCTTTCTACCAGTGTCTATGGTCTTCCTCGGTAGACTGCCCAGTGAGGCTCGTCACGTGACTTCGACATTGGGCCAAAGTTGCCAGGTACACGATGTCGCCGTTAGGTGAGGGGTGACTGGCCCTGATGTAAATAGCCTCAGTCCACCGAGGAAGACCAGAGAAACTGGTCGAAAGGTGTAGGTGTGAAAACTTTGTATTCTGTTGGATCAAAAGGTTTAACTTAAAGCATGTAATAAGTACCAACACAGATGAACTGTGATGATAGTGTAAGAAGTGATCATGCAGTTAGATATGACAGAAAGATAGGACATCTTATCTTCCAGAAAAACATTACAGTCTGGTAATGTCTACTAGTTTCTTGTTCAGCGATATTATCTTCTAAGACCACACCAATTTATTCTGTTGCTTCTTGTATTCGCCTGTCCATTTTTGTCTGAATTGCAAAAAAAATATTTTAGGTTCTGAATCAACTCCAAAATTCTCAATAAAAGACATATTTTGGCCACAACGGTTGAAGAAAGTCTTTTTCTTCCTAGTTGTTCCATGTAAAAATGCAGTGGTTTACATTAATAGTTCAAAATTTATTATTTGCCAGCCTTTTATGATGACTTCATGGCTCTTATTGTAACATTTCTGGCTATCATGAGGTGTCTTGGCCTTCTTTTGGTAATTATAACTTACGAAAAATATCAATAACGGTACTGTCTTCATTGTAAGCCTTTTAAGGTCGTGACACAAAAGGACAAGTACAAATAAGGCCACACCAATTGAATTTCTTGGTTAACGGATTTTTTTAGAAAAATAATGGAGCGGGCGTTCGAAGAAATAAAGAATAAAAACAGGCCAAAATGGTACGATAGAAGTCAACACACCAGGCTCGTTCAAAATTTCAACAATCTATTTCAAACTTTTAATGATATTGCATTGAAAGATGAACTTTTAATGATATTGCATTGAAAGATGAAATGACAGTAACAACTAGGAAGAAAAGGAAGGACACTGATCAGCTGATTCAACTGATCAGCGCAAAATATGAGCATTTTTCAGTTGATTCTGATTTTTTTTAATGCAAATCAGAAAAAAATGAAGCGGGCGAAGCCGTTTACCAAGAAATTAAATTGGTGTGGCCTAAGATATATTCATATGGATATTACTTACTTCTAGAGCATTTGTCACCTTCATGAATGGTATCAGGTGGACAATTTTTCACACAGACTCCATTATCCGATATCTTGCACACACATTTGGGAGCTGTACTGTCGCCATTTGGTTTTCTTATGTGGAAAAGAAGTGAAGGTTATATAATATATTACTCTGTATCATTTACGATGAGGCCATGTGGATTTAATCATATGAATGACATCCTCTTGGAACCCAAAAAACTAGTGGAAAAGAATGTGGAAAAGAAGTGAAGGTTATATAATATATTACTCTGTATCATTTACGATGAGGCCATGTGGATTTAATCATATGAATGACATCCTCTTGGAACCCAAAAACTAGTACTGATGCGAGTGTACAAACAAAAAAAAGTGTGGCAAAAGAAGTTGCATTTATCATGAAATCTACGTGGTCATGAAGGAAGGTCGAACAATAATTATAATTTTAACAGTTCTGTAACTTACTTCAGGTCTGGGCATTTGGAGACACACGTGTATTTGCCAGGATCGTCAGGGTTCACGTCCATAAGCTTGCCTGGAAAGGATAACAAAAAAATCATAAGCAAATCAAATACTTTAATTTTCATAGTTACATTGGAGATACTCCGCAATTGTAAATCTATATGACAGAGATTATAAAGACAACAGTCATAAAAGTCCCGGGCCCATCAGCGCTTTGCTTCCAGATTTATGATGTGGGGTACCGGTTTCTATTGTTAAGAGTAATAGTACAAATCTGAACAAAAAACGCGTTCAGGAGATCTTTTCCAGGCATCTGTACATCTTCAAAGCATCTCGAGGTATATCCACAGTATCTTGCGATGTCAAGATTTAGCATAAATTGTAATATAGAACGTCTCAAAAGATATGGGATATATAACTTCAATATATAAGCGGTCAGAATCGTCATTGTACATGTATGAAGTCCCATCTTTAAGCGAACATTAAAGACCTCAAGTAAAAGACATATGAATATCAAATATTTATACCATGTAGTAGCTTGAAATTGTTTTCAATCGCGATGATTGAGAACCTAAGTTTGTACGGTCTTCAAAATGTGTATATTTGGAGACGCTCCGGCAAGCTTCCCAATCGTTCTCCTCCGCAAATTTCTGCATTTCTATGTTTATTTTTAAATTTCTGTGCTTTTGCCGGAGCTGACATCACAGGGTGGAAAATGCAAAAATAAAACGTAGAGGTGCAGATGTATAACGGGACTGACGTGTGCTGACATTTCTGAGGAGGGGCTTTGAAATTTCGAATGTAACAGGAAAACCCTGTACATTTATTGTAAACGTGTCTGTTAATACTAGTTATGTCAACTACAAGCATATAAGGTAGTATTTTGGTGAGCACTTTAAAACATACGTAAATGCACACGCGAGCGGAGACACGAAACATCTGCGCACACTTTAAAGTGTGCTTGAGGAATGGATTTTTGTGCAGTTCCCCAAATTACACAGTCATAATTCAATTTACTCTTTGATACTTACATATGCATGTCTTTCCGTCGGGGCCTATTTTCTTGTTGGCCGGACACGTGCACACCTTTGTGTCAGCGTCAACAATGAGGCCGGATGGACATCCACCCTCGGGAACGCATTTGGTTCTTCCATCTCCCATCTTCCATGTGAAGTGCTTGCAGCGGCGACACTCTGTATCCAGCTTGGAACCAGGGGTCATTGGAATGCATCCTACACTCGTTAACACAGTTGTGTATTAGTATCAACTATCAAGCCAGTCTTGCTTTGTAGATTTCATACTTATGGTTTGCGTTAATGAATAACTCAAGCCGCTATTTCACCATGGTGTATGTTTCATACCATGATAACATAGTCAGTATACATTTATGACAACCAAAATGCTATGACCAGAGGCAAATCGGGTCACAACCCAAGTAAATCAACTGAAACCCAATCATATCTCCCTTATATCCACTGACATTTCTCTACTTAGGAATGGATACATGACCCCCCCCCCCCAAACCGATGCCTTCCAAAAATACTTCTATCGATATCTCTGAAGTAAGGACAACTTCATTTGATTATATGGATGGCATCCTTTGGAAAACCCAAAAATTGATGCGAGTGGCCGAATAAGAAATGTTTAGCAAAAGAAAGTTGCCTTCATTATGAAGTCTACGTGGTCATGAAGATTGAACAAATAATGTAACACACAGAGTATGATATGGCGAATAATATAACAGGTTCTTCATTTTCATTTTCTCACATTAGCATTGTTTCTCGATATTTTTTTTGCAATTTACGGCACATACGTGCTCAGTTTGTTGCTGCTGCTTTGTACGATTTTCAGTGTGGTCAAAAACATTTTTTTTTGGAAAGGACAAAAAGTCATTGCAGGGTGGACGTCATCCATGTAATCAAATCAGCATGATCTAAAAGGAAAAACACACCATCACACTCCGGGTGACAATCTTCCACACATTGCCCGTCCTTCAGTACGGTTCCCCCAGTACAAGTCATGGGTCCTGTACCACTTCCTGCGATGATTCGAGCGTCCATGACCTCCACGTTGGCTTCCCCACCACCAAAGGAGTAGAAGCGGATGCCTAATGGTGGGTTGAGGTCAGTGTAGACCATGTAGACCACGCCTTTTTCCTATTTACAGAAATATTTCGCTTTTTTTGCTTTTGTTTCATCTTTAGGTCACACCAATTTAATTCGTTCCTTCTCGGATTAGGTCGAAATAGAAGTAAAAAAAATTCAAAGGCACCCCATGATAGCCGGAAATGTTACGATAAGAGCCATGAAGTCGACATACCAGGCTGGTTAAGAATTCAAACAGTAAATTTTGAACTTTTAACGAAACCACTGCATTGTTACATGGAAAAACTAGGAAGAAAGGACTTTCTTAAACCATTAGGGCTAAAATATGTCTTTTATAGACCATTTGGAGTTGATTCAGAACCTAATTGTCTTTTTTTTTGCAAATCAGAAAAAAAATGGACTGGCGAATCTGAGAAGCAACAAATCAAATTGGTGTGGCCTTATTTACAATACATGTGTGTTAAATATATGTATCTGGCCAAAAAGACCTATAAAATTAAATGCGTTTAAGTGGAACCCCCCATTAAACTGTAGGGTTCTGGGTTCTGCCGCACATTCCTTTCCTACATAGTTTACTTGTTTTTAGGTGCAAACCATCAATAAGCATTGAATTTCAAGATGATGATGGTATAGCCACACTCGTGATCTTGTAGTACTATATTGGAAATGCAAACAGACATTTTTGAAAATGCAAACATCTATACTAGACACACACTATTGTATTAGGTAGGTTAGCCTTTCGAAATTGTAGTTTTGTACCAGTAGATGCCATACTTTTGTACCCTGTACAATTTTTGTGCAATATAGTTAATCTTATGACACGATCACATTTTCAAGCCGGGGCCAGGCCGAGCTGTTTGTGTGAATGAAAAATAATTTTTAATTCAGAATATACACAAGTAGTGTTCATCGTCAGTTTTCTAAAACATTTTTGTTTGACTGTCTTATATAGTTTAGCTCCATAAGACTGCCCGGCCGGGCCCTTGGTTGGGGAATTTGACGACGCCATAATTCTGTGCTACTTTAACGTACGGACGTGTCAGATCCGATTCCATATTTGATGTAGGTTTTGCTGGTTTCCTCATCCAGGCAAATGAAGTATGGTTGAAACAGATTTGAGGCCCCCAGGCCCCGAGCATGCTTCGCTCCCTCATATTTCACCAGCTTCATCCCCTGTAACACATTTGTTACAAGTTGAATAGCAAAATTCTTTATTCACAGTCATTTTTAACAGGAGCCGACGCTTCGATGACCGTCTGTCATCTTCTCCAGGGCTAATATGACTGGGTTATACTGTGCGCTGGCGCTAGGTAAGGAAAGGAATGGAAAGTGATCTCGATCCAGTTTTAGCTTACTGAAAAGCTTATGCCCCACTGGTCGTAGCAGAGGAGACAGGCACTATGTACAGTATTTACAGGTTTATTTACTAGGTGTTACTGGTTCACAGTGAAGATAGATACAGCATTACAATGCAGTCCCAAGCGTAAAACATTGTGACATACATAGGCATTATTACATCATAGCGTCACATGCGGTTCCAAATGTGTTGTTACAAATTAACACGATAAAGAAAACCTTTGGTATTCAATCAGTTACCAACCCTATACTCAAGTGCACCTTAATAACAACGATATTCTTATTAAAACAGATTGGTAACTTGTTTAGAAACAAATGAATATCCATAACTGTTTTAAATACCATGGGGCAGTAAAAATGCCTTTCCTTTCCATCTACGAAGGTGGCGGGGTAAGTATTATCTAGAATGTCTTCCTTTTGATGTTTGACTTTGATTGTCTGAGCAGCTAGCATTGTGTTTACCACACTATAAAGAATAGGTATAGCAATCGGCTTTTGAAAGCATTACAATACCTCCGGGACCAACTTGTTTAAGCATCAGAAAAGCTATTATTTGAAACCGCAAAACTCGCCTTTTGATGTTCGAAGGTTTCTGAGGAATAAAATACATTACCTTATAAAGCGCCACTCCTTGTAGACCTATCTGGAGGTGGAACCATGTTGTCGTGTCCCTTGGAATGGCAGCGAACGTCACAAAAATGTCGCCTGCTGATGCGCCAACGAAGTAAAGGCACTGTCCGCCTTCGACAGAAGGATCGATCTGGTAGGAGTTGGACCACTTCACTGTGCAGGGCGCCTGGACAATGCTCATCAAACCCTCTCTAATGCGTGTGCATGAATGGTTGCGAAATAACATTAAAAAAAATAGGAAAAGTGTATTACAAATACATGCCCAAGGGCTTATTGCAAATACAAACAACAATGATTAAAAAAAAGAAGATGCAATGATATAAGAGGCAACGAAATAAAAAAGTAATCGGCTACTTTAAACTATCGGAAAGTACATATTTTTTGCGTTAATGTTATGCAGTCATTGATGAGATTGTTTGCACTTTTACCGACTTCAGAGCCCGCCTGTACCAGTATAATTTTGCCCTAAGCTTTGCCAACGGTGGCCTGACATACACTTGTTGGTTATATGACGTAGCTCACTCCACTATCATACCTCAATTTATGTTTCATACCATATTGTCACAGTAATATTTCTGACTTTGTACACAACTGTCGAGCGATAAAGTCCAGACATTCAGCCTTATTCTTAGTACCACTAGATATATTACTTCAGTCAAACGTATTCACGACAAACGCTCAGAAAAGTGGTCTTCGTGTAAATGTGGTATTCTCACATTAAAAAAAAGAAAACATGGCGTCGAGATTCGGGACAAGAAAACTGCCGCAAAATTTCCATCCATTTTACAAACTGTCCAATTGACCCGGCCGGTGCCATTTCACATTGTGCAAACACTGTCGTCGAAATCAATGGCAAACCGGCTGATTCCATCACAATTTCTCGCTACTTACTAGTATCATCGAAAAAGTTACACTTTAAAATGGCGCTGTCTTCAAAGGCAGAGAGTGGGCAATGTGCGGAACCAATTAGCACCTGTCGCGGTATTTTTGGTGGTCGACTCTAAAGTCCCAAAATGCTTACGTCTATGTGGAAAAAGGCCGTTGTGGCCAGATGGCCACGCTGGCTTATAGAGTTGGTAGCTTCGGCTTTTGACTGTATATATTTAAGTGTCCGTTTTACCTGTTATTTCTTGAGTGCTCTAACGGGTTAACATACTCTGCTCGGCCAACGATTGTGTTTGCGTAATCGCCAGGCAGAGTGCCCAAAACCTGTAAGAAGAAGTCGGGAAAATGTTATTAATCATTTTCTTATTCTTTAATCGCCAGAACACTCATTACCATTAGTCCGGAACAACCCTAGAAGTTGTTGACAGCTACAAACATCTAGGCATCACCCTAACAAACACACTCTCCTGGTCCAAGCACGTTGAAACAACCTGCACCAAGTCAAGACGATCTGCTGGCCTGCTGTGTGCACTAAGAAAGAAGGTACCAATGGACATCCTACTCAGACTATACAAAACCATCACTAGACCAGGTCTGGAGTATGCCGATATTGTCTGGGCGGGACTCACCAAGAGCGACGAAAGTAAACTGGAATCAGTTCAGTACCAAACCGCTAGACTGATCAGTGGGCAACACGGACTCCCGTATCCCTCCTACCAAACTTTGTACACCCAACTGTCCCTTCCATCACTTCAGTTCCGACGAAGATTCCACACAGCCACCACTCTGTACAAGCTCCTCAACGGACACTGTCCTCCACATCTCCAAACCCTGGTACCCAGAACCCGTGAATCCGCCACTGAGTCACGCTATCCCTCAGGAACAGTAGTCACCTGACTGCTAAACTCACCAAAACCACCAGAGGACAGAGAACATCCTTCCACCGAGCAACGTCACTCTGGAACACCCTCTCCACTACAGCTACAACGACTGCCTCCTTTAAAAGGAAGCTTTGGGACTCTCTGGGCGACCCTTACGTCTGTACTCACTGACCCTGACCTCTCCACTTAGATCTAGTACTTTCAAACAATGTCTTTATTTACATAGACTAATGTATAGATTGTTAAGCTGCTTGTGTTATATGTTGCTGTAATGTCTTGTATTGTCTTGTCAGCAGGGCAAGCCCTTTGTAATAGCCACAGACTAGTTGGGCTGCCCTGGCTGTGTGCGTTGAACAGCCAAACCAATAAATAAATAAATAAATAAATACCATTAGTCCTATTTGAAACTAATATTCGATGATCACATGCAATATGATTTTCGAATAGGAATGCTCACTAAATCAAAAACAAAATTAAGGGCTTTATAATGATTAATTACAATACCCTTGCCACATTGAGCTTTACCATAGTTACTTCCGGGACGAAAATCTCGTTTAGGTGGCACTGGATTAGAGCGGTTTGTATGTAGTTGATCCTTGTTGCTTTATAGACAGGTTATGTTTCAAGGCGACTCAAAACGTGCCGGAATAAAGCATGTATATGGGAACGCGGTATGCGTTGGCATGCCAATTAGATTACGGCATGTAGAATCTCTTTACAGTTCCAACAGACCCTTTGCATTGGGTGTCTATTTGACAACCGATGCAAAGACCAAAACCAGTACAGACGGAAGCCAGCAACCCTTTTTGTCACAGTAAAACGACGCTATCCCATGATTGGCGGGAAGGTCGCGTGTTCTCAAACCTTTTCCTGATTGGAGGAGAGTTTTTCCCGAGAGAACTGACCGGTTCAAACCGGCGGGACGTGGAGAAAGATAGCCCGGGAAGCTTCCAGAGGCAGCTTCCCGGTGAAGAGTTCAGTAGGTCACACATCCGGGAACTGAGGCTCCATTAGACTGTAATGTTACTACTGTTACAACAGAACAGCTCACACCATCCCCTAAGCTGTTCTGTGACAAAACGTGTTGCTGGCTTCCGTCTGTGCTGGTCGTGGCGGTGGCAGTAAACCTTGGTTTGACATCAATTCCAATATATTCACGAAAACTCAAAGCACCACGATAGTCAAATTTGGGCCCCGATTTCCCCACCTGCTGACGAACCCGAATTATGTTCGGTCTGACGTATCTGACGTAATTCGAACAGAACGATGTTCGAAATGTGGTCATTTACAGTAAACCTGGGTCTTAGGGTCCCTCTTTTATGGGTACAAAGACCAAAACCAGCAAAGACGGAAGCCAGCAACCCTTAATGTCACAGCTCACAGCCATCTGCTGAGCTTTCCTGTGACAAAAAGGGCTGCTGACTCTGACTGGTGCACCGAATCCCGAAAATAATCGTCTTTCGTAGCGATTTTTTTACGAATCAGCGATTTAGCATAAACATCTAACACTAAAAGTATGTAAAGACGATAATTTCATTTTATTTCGACGAAATTTACCTTACCACACTATTTGCTTATTTTCAAATGCTGGTCCAAAATTGCGTATTGTAACCCGATCCCTTTTCGAACACGCCTAGCAACGGGAAAGAATACCGTGTGCGTACCGGAGGTGCTTATCAACAATTTGTCGTTAGGTTTGAAATGAAAAGGACAAATTTCACCTGATAGATTTTGACCAAACGTAGATCGTTAAATATTTGCATCCGTTTGCCAACAGTAAAAAAAATATATGTTTGGTTGTCAGTGCATGGCCACATACTGTACTGATAATTTTTAAAAAATGCCAGTATGCATATATGTTAATATTTTGAGATAAAGTTACTATAGACACTACATTCAAATTGTAATAGCAATTCAGTTTCTGACACTATTTGAAACTACCACAGCCTTTTACAACCTCTTAGTAATGCCATATTTACCAAGTAGTAGTTATTTTAAACTGTAATGTTTATGCCTTTCACTCGTCAAGAAATTGATAAATAAATTATTAAGCTTTACGTCTTAGAAAATACACTTGAAGATACATTAAGATAAAAGTCATCATGAAGATCGAAAAAAAAACATAGAGCTAAACTAACTAGGCCTTGGTACCTTTTTGGATGCATCCTGGTTTTGGGATGTCACCGAAAACTGACCGGTCTCTTCATTGTATGTCATCACAAATCCAAAGCAGGAGACCTACGAGAAAACAGGTCATAAATTCAGTCGCAACGGTTAGAGTGTACATCTGTGTAAATGTATGCCCAAAACATACTACGGATTTGGTGCGCCAATGTGCTAACATCTAAACATTTGCCTCAAAATTATTATTATATTTATTATTACCATATTGTTCTTGGTGTCACCGCTTCCACCATTGAAGTGGCTATTATACGCGTGAACACGGGTCCCCGGCAAATGACAATTCCACCTATTGAACAACAACGAAAAAGAAGAATTAAAAAAATTCTATAAGCCACCGATGAAATCGATAAGTTGTTAGATCAATGACAAATTATTTGAAGTCAATACTGGATGACTGCCATGTTGATGTGATTATACATGAATTTTCTTCCGTTCCCAAAAAGAAAAAAGGTTTTGACCATACTATAAATGGTACAAAGCAGCCACAAACAAGCAAATATATGCAAAGTCCAAAAGATATTGGAAAATGATACTAATGCCGTAGAATGCCAAATAATCAACTCCAAACGAAAAGAAGAAAATGCGAAGAAATAAAAAATAAGAGTCCATTATTCGCCATACTGTACTTTTTCTCCAACCTTTTCTTTGCAAGCCCCGCATCAGGCTTTGGTTTCCGTGATGATTTCATCCATATAATCAAATTAACATGGCCTTACCAAGACACAAACACCGGTTTGTACAATAACAGTCCTGCTAACTCAAGACGTATGAGTTTACAGACACCTGACTTCTTTGTTTTGGATTAAACTTTACCTTTGATGTTGTAAACCATTTCTGATTTTGTGTTACTATTGTGCTGTTGGTTCCTACAGTAACAAAACAACTTATTACTTTGTAAAATCTACGTCCTGCAAAATATTTCTTCACAATTCTCTGGCATAGTATCATCTCTACCTTCCGTTTCCAAAAATTATAAAGACCGCCGCGTTCTTCTGGATGTTTTTGTTGATATCCTGGGGAAGATCAAAGATAATCTGCAAAAACAATGGAGGTATTAAGTTAATTATTATAATCTAAAAGCTTTTCTGTTAAGGTAGCGCAGAGCTAATACATTATTGGCTCTACACAAAATATTAACACGTCTAATTTTTGACTGTCCTACTGCATGCCTTTATCAGACCTCACTGTTTGTACTAATGACATCGACAAGCACGCTGGTCAGTAATCCAGCCATATTAGCCATGATGAAGAGGACAGACGGTCATCGAAACGTCGACTCTTGTTAGAAAAACTGGTTGTGAATAAAGGACTTTGCTATTCAGTTTTATCGAACCTTGTATTTGTTTCCATTGATAAGTTCGCTCCATGGAGGATGGGCAACACCGGCTTTGCCACCCTTTATGACCAGGGAATCAGACTGGCATCCAGCTGGACCAGCCTGCATAT